TCTGCCCTCCTCCCCCGCCCAGCCCCCCGTGCTGACCCAGAGCCAGAGCCTGGCCCCTGCCTCCCACCCCGCCGCGGGCCTCCACCAGGTGCCCCCCCAACCCCCGTTCGCCCAGCACCCCTTTGCCCCCGCGGCCCCTCCTCCCATCACCCCTCCGACTTGCCCCTCCACCTCCACTCCCCCGGTGGGGCCTGGCCCCTCGGCCCAGCCGCCTTGCTCTGCCCCCGTCGCTGCGGGAGGCAGTGTAGCTGGGGGGGCAGCCTGCCCGCTCCCCACCGTCCAGGTTAAGGAAGAGGCCCTGGACGAAGCTGAGGAGCCCGAGAGCCCCCCTCCCCCGCCTCGGAGCCCGTCCCCTGAGCCCACTGTGGTGGACACCCCCAGCCACGCCAGCCAGTCTGCCAGGTATTGGTCCCCGGGAACCGGGCACGTCCGGGGCAGGGACAGCTGGGCACCTGGGGGCCTCGGCAGGGACCCCAGCGAGACCCGAGGCTTTTTCAGGTTCTACAAGCACCTGGACCGGGGTTACAACTCGTGCGCGCGCACAGACCTGCACTTCATGCCTCTGGCGGGATCCAAGCTGGCCAAGAAGAGGGAGGAGGCCATCGAGAAGGCCAAACGGGAGGCCGAGCAGAAGGCGCGAGAGGAACGCGAGCGGGAGAAGGAGAAAGAGAAGGAACGCGAGCGGGAGCGCGAGCGGGAGCGCGAGGCAGAGCGGGCGGCCGTGAGTCGGGCGGGCAGCCTGCTCTGCTCGGGGGGCTCCCGAGGGCTGGTCCCCACGCTCGCTTCACGGGTGGGCTGCCACCGCCTGGCGTCCTCTCAGCCGCCACCCGCGTTACCTCTGTGTCCCAGATACGCGGACCCATCCAGGCCCCGGGTGCCCCACCACTGCAGGGCCCGGACCTTGGCTGGGCCGGGTCTGGGTCCGGGTCTGGGTCTGGGTCTGGAGCACGGGGGGACCCAGTTTGCTGGGCCGACGGCTGGGCACACCCAGCCCTTACGGCCTCTTTTCCTTTCACAGAAGGCGTCCAGCTCTGCGCACGAAGGCCGCCTCGGCGACCCCCAGCTCGGTGGTCCCGGCCACATGCGGCCCTCCTTCGAGCCCCCGCCCACCACCATCGCGGCCGTTCCTCCGTACATCGGGCCTGACACGCCGGCCCTCCGGACTCTGAGCGAGTACGCCCGGCCCCACGTCATGTCGCCCACCAACCGTAACCACCCCTTCTACGTGCCCCTCAACCCCACCGACCCGCTGCTGGCCTACCACATGCCCGGCCTCTACAACGTCGACCCCACCATCCGCGAGCGGGAGCTCCGGGAGCGCGAGATCCGGGAGCGTGAGATCCGGGAGCGCGAGCTGCGGGAGCGGATGAAGCCAGGCTTCGAGGTGAAGCCCCCGGAGCTGGACCCCCTGCACCCGGCCGCCAACCCCATGGAGCACTTCGCCCGGCACGGCGCCCTCACCATCCCCCCCGCCGCCGGCCCCCACCCTTTCGCATCTTTCCACCCTGGCCTGAACCCCTTGGAGAGGGAGAGACTGGCCCTGGCGGGCCCCCAGCTGCGGCCCGAAATGAGCTACCCGGACAGACTGGCGGCTGAGCGCATCCACGCCGAGCGCATGGCCTCACTGACCAGCGACCCCCTGGCGCGGCTGCAGATGTTCAACGTGACCCCGCACCACCACCAGCACTCCCACATCCACTCGCACCTCCACCTCCACCAGCAGGACCCTCTCCACCAAGGTGGGGACTCCAGGGAGCCAAGGGCAGAGGACGTGCCGGGGGGCGCGGCCGAGAGGTCTGCGGAGAGCGGGGCTTAGTGAGCCCCCGTCTGGCAGCGCCTGCTCTGCTGGCCGCCTTCGGGTCCTGTGGGCGAAGGGCTCGGGAGGCAGCCCTGGGGAGGGTGCCAGTCCAGCTGAGCTGGGAGGAGGGATGCTGGCTGGGGCAGGGCTGGAACGGCCCTGGGGTTCCTGTGCACCTGAAGGGCACAGGAGGGCCTTGGGCAGTCGGCCAGGCGGGCTCTGCTGATCCAGGGTCCTGGACAAAACGAGGTTGGGGAGGCTCTGCCTGTGGGCGTGCGGAGGGGGAGGGGGAGGGGGAGGGAGAGGAAAGGAAAGCCGTGGCCAGCTCTTCACTTGGCGGCTCTCCAGAGCTCCGCTGTAGGGGCGGGGAGGCCACGGAGGGCGACGCTACTTTGGGTCGGGGTTGCCGGTGGCCCTGGTGACCAGAAGCCAGCCGCGGAGAGGAGCAGGTCCCTGGGAGTTGCCCCCAACGAGGGCAGATGGCGAGAGGCCCCCAGAGCCCTGCACCGCCTGCATGTGCACTTCTGCCCCTTTTCCTAGGGTCAGCAGGCCCAGTTCACCCGCTGGTTGACCCCCTGACTGCTGGCCCGCACCTGGCTCGCTTTCCCTATCCCCCTGGCACCCTCCCCAGCCCTCTGCTGGGGCAGCCCCCCCACGAGCACGAGATGCTTCGCCATCCAGTTTTTGGTGAGAGCGCGCCTGGGGAAGGGGTGGGGTGGGGTCCAGGGCAGAGCTGGGGTGGTGGTCTGCCGCGACGTCCCCACTTGTTCGTGTGTTCAGCACACACCTCCTGAGTGTTGGGAGGCTACTTGGGAACAAGGCAGGCAGACCCCTGTCCCCAGGGAGCTGGGGGTCAGGGGTATAAACGTGTATCAGGAGCCGGGACGATGGTGGGCAGGGAAGAGACAGCGGAGTGCCAAATTCAAAGGAGGGCTGAGGGCAGGCCTCTGTGAGGACCAGCCAGTAGGCTGAGGAGGACCGGGCCCAGGGGCAGGGGGTCCAGGAGCCACAGTTCTCTCTTGCGGGCGGGCGGGGGCTCTGCTTCGGTGCTCCCTGCCAGCAAGGTGGCTTCTTGCCCGTCCCCTTGGGAGGCTCCCTCCTGATCCGAGCTGCTTGCCGGCCTCATCCTGGCCTTTCTGTCTCAGAGGCTGTTCTGTGTTGGGCAGGCACCCCCTACCCCCGAGACCTGCCTGGGGCCATCCCACCCCCCATGTCGGCGGCCCACCAGCTGCAGGCCATGCACGCCCAGTCGGCGGAGCTACAGAGACTGGCCATGGAGCAGCAGTGGCTGCACGGACACCCGCACATGCATGGTGGTCACCTCCCAAGTCAGGAAGATTATTACAGGTGAGGCGGGAGGGGCTGGGAGGGAGGCCAGGCTCCCACCTCCCCGACCTGTGGGTCCCGGACCCCCTCCCGCCCCTCCTGGCTGCACCCACACTCCGCCCCGCCCCCACCCCCCTGCCCCTTGGGCCTCCTGTGGAGCTGTCTTAAGGGGAGACAGGGCAGGGGTCGGCGGTGTGGAGGCTGCCCCGGGCATCCGGGCCCTCCAGCTGCAGGCCTACCCAGGCCTGACTGACGCTGATTACTTCTTCCTCTTTTTTTTTTTTTTTTCCACCCCCTCTTTCCAGTCGACTGAAGAAGGAAGGTGACAAGCAGTTATAAGTTATTTATTTGTTAGCGCTGGCTGTGGAAACCCCAATTCTTGGGGGAGAAACAGGACTTTTTACGTACAATAGGAGCTGCAAAAGCAAAAAGAATATCTTCTAAAGATTTCTTTATATATTTAAAAACCCCACAACTAAAAACGTATCAGCATACTAGTGTTCGTTTGTAGAGAGGATTCCTTGAGACTGGTTTGGGTCTCCCTGCATGACAGTCCCCCAGAAACTTAGTGAGGCCTGGACTGGACTGAACATTCAGAAAACTCCCCTGCAATCTTGGGGTTTGGCTTTAGTTTTCTTTTCCTTCCTTGATTTCTTCAGTAGGTGCTAGAATCCAGTTCACACCCTTCACTGTGCGTGCAGACACACTCAGCTGCGTGTGTTCCAGAACCCACAAGGTTTGCAGATAGGCAGCGTATGAGTTTGGAATCCAAGAGCTGTAATTTTTAAAAAATCTTTTATTTTAATACATTGTAGGAAATCTTCATAATTTGAGGAAGTTCTGCGCATGGCTTTTTACGTCTGTAAATAAATAATTTTAGAACAGCCTTTTTTTTCTTCCATAAACTACTACTCTGATCTATTTTTTCCAGCCATGTCACTAATTGTGAATTCCTACCAGCTGTTGACAGAACACAGAGTTGATTTTTTAATAAAAAGTTATATATAATTATCCCTTTAATTAAAGGGAACAGATGGGCGTTACTAGTTACAAACGGGCAAAAGCTTGGGACTAGGTTTGGGCGCAGCAGGGAGCAGCCAGGGGTGTGCAGGGACAGTGTTACAAACCGTTTCTTTGTTGTGCTGCTTTGGTTTTCACTTCTGTCTGTTCCCAGCTTGTGCTTTGCCAGCGGTGCAGACATCTGTTAGCTTGAACCTCTCATCTTGCACCAGGAGCACAGGAGTTAAATGTCCCCCATTCTGTTTCAGAGGGATCGAAAGCACATGTTTCTGTGTGTCGGATTGTAGATTTCCTTATAGATTTCTCTGTACACGCATTTGATTGTTCTGAATGAACTGCCTTTTTCAATACTTGGACAATTTCATAAACAAACATTCTAGAAAATCCAAGAAAACGATTCCCTGCGAGTCACTCCGCACATATGCTTGCCAAAGGGATCTCTTAGAAATCTGCTTTGTCGTGCATGTCGTCGTTTGGATCTTCTTGTGGTGAGGCCAGGCCATCCTTGTCACAGCCCAAGGCTGCTTTGGAGTGAGGGAGATCCCGGAGTCGGTCTGGCTGCGGGTGGTGTCCTGTGTGTTACCCCAGGAACAGGGACCCACATTGGACAGGGAGATACTTGGCGTCCCGCTCTTCGTCCTGGAAGCAGGACGGGGGTCACAGCCGTGGACGTGGAGTGAGAGGCAGCTCCACCTGGGGGCAGGTGGCCCAGAGAGCCCGCCTCGGCTTTCTGAGTTGCCCGCGTGCTTCACTTTCTCCAGAGCAGAGGGTGGGGAAGTTGGAAGGACATTCTGCACCTGCTGATCACGCTTTCTGCCAGGACATGACCTTTTCTGTTCCTCTTCTCTCAGCCTTTCGGGGGCTCTTTCTGCCATGGTGCGCGGAGTTCCCGCCTGGGGGTCAGTGGACGTGGAGCGCGTCCAGGACTGGAGCCACAGAGGGGGCGGGATGAGAGGCTGGCGCTTTGACCCAGAAACCAGCAGGCGATAGCTCAGATTCAGGTTCTGGATTCACACTTGCCTCAAGGGCATTTCCAGTGTCCACTAAAGCCACGTTCGGTTTCCATTGGGACAGATAGAGGATGGTTTTGTCTGTTGAAAATGTTCGTAGGTTTTTTCTTTTCGTTTTCTCTCATTCCATTTCTGCCTTAACTTTTAGCTCCTTGGGGGGAGGCAAGCTCAGATGAACACTTTGTCATCGCTTGAGTGGCCGCGTTGGCCAGGGGCGTTTGTGTCCCTGGGGCTAGTGACGTGCCATCAGGGCGGGCTCCGCTCTGCGGCCTCCGCGCCTCTGAGCCGGGCCCCTTCCTGCTGGACTCGGGCGCTCCTGCTGCCCCGGCTCCTGCACGGAAGCCCCCGCCTGCTTTTCTCCCTTTGGGTGGAACGCAATGCCTCCCACTCAGTTATCCTCCTTTCTCTCCTCTCTCTCTTGTCCATTTCCAAGGAAGAGAGAGAGTTGAAGCACTTCGAAGTCTGTACTTGAAAACTGTCTGAAGGCGTTTTCTCCTTAGGTTTTGGTTTTCTCCCCACGTCCCCAGGTGAAGCACTGAGATTCTTCCATTTAAAAACCCACAACCCGAAATCCTCACCTGGTCAACTGCAGCGTGTGTCGGAGGCCCCAGACCTTCGCAGTGTCTTTGAAGCCCGACCCCTTGGTCTCCTTTTGGGTTTCCTCCCTTTGTTTGGAGTTGTTTTGCTTTTCCGTGTTTTATGTGTATCTTGTTCACTGTCGTCGGGTTGAGCTTCACTTCGCTGCGGCAGCAGCATAGCGGAGTGTACATTCTGATTTGCTACGTTTATATATATCTTGAAGCTAAATGTATATATGAGTAGTTTGCCATGAGATAACACAGTGTAAACAGAGTAGACACCCAGAAATTGTGACTTCTGTGTTCTCTCCATTTGAGTATTTTGTAATTTTTTTGAAATATTTGTGGACATAAATAAAAACAAGCTACACTTCAGCGGCTGCGTGTTCTCCGGTGGACTGCGTCTCTCCCTGTGGTGGGCGGGGGAGGCGTATTGGCCATTGTTCTGACCTGGGTCTCCCCGGGTGCGGAGGGGCAGGGGGATGGTTTGGTTCTCTGCGTTGCCAGCACACTGCTTACCCTCCGAAACAGCTTCCAGAGAGCCCCCGTCTGCACCATCTGGGGGGAAGGGGCTCTCTGGCGGGTACACCGCCCTCGCGGGGAGGCTTCAGCCTGCTGACTCGGGACAGTCAGGACGTGCAGAGGCTCCCCAGGCAGTGGGCATTCAGTGCCCATCCGTGGGCATTGATGAATGGGCATTCATCAACGGGGGTGATGGCGTTGGGACCAGAACACCCCCTCCTCACTCCTCCCCGTGCCGTTCAACCCGCACCTCTAATTTCTGGACACCCTCCAAAGCGTGTGGGCCTGTGGCTCCTCCTCTGCTGAGGAGAGGTCTGAGCCACCAGCCAGGACAGTGGCCTCCTGCCCCTGGCTGCGCCTCCTGCCTGTCCCCTCTCTGCCTCTCCGCCGAGGCCTGCCGGGGCCGCCTTCAGCAGCTGAGGTGCCCTCCAGGTTGAGGATGCCTCCAAGCCCCATGGGGGAATCTTGCCCAGTGATAGCGCACCGGGTCACCTGCAGGGTGTGCGTGTGGCCACGAGGGGGCAGCAGACGCCAGGTTGGGTTCGCGGAATTTCCTGAAGCTTCAAGACTGCCGTTGGAAATTGATAGGCGCGCCTCTGTATCTGGGGTCTGGCCGTGATGATGGAGCGTGAGCAGCCCCGAGTGCTCATTGTTAGTAAACGGCCTCAAACCAGCCAGGGTCTGTCCGCCTTGTGGTGAAGGCCTGGGGGACGGCGCATGTAGGGCACCATCTAATTTAGGGCATGAGATAGCTTTGCCAACCGGAAGGGTGCAGGTGGCATACCCATCAATGGCCCTAGAGACACTTCCGTGCCCTCCAACAGCAGGAGCCCTGCTGGGCAGTTTGGGTAGTTGGGGGAACAAAGTGAGGGCCCTGCAGGCGCCATGGGAGACACACGTGACTGTCGTCATGGGTCACGGATGAGAAGGTGGGATGGGGCAGTGGGGTGAGTGGGTGGAATCCAGGTGCCATCTCTGCTGGTCTCTTTCTTTTTTTTAATTTTTATTGGAATATAGTTGCTTCACAATGTTGTGTTAGTTTCTGCCGTACCGCAAAGTGAATCTGCTGTGCATATACAGATCTCCCCTCCTAGTTGGATTTCCTTCCCATTTAGGTCACCACAGAGCACTGAATAAAGTTCCCTGAGCTGTACAGTAGGTCCATATTAGTTATCTGTGTTATACGTGGTATCAGTAGTGTATAGGGCTGTCTCTTATGTAGACTGTGCCCTTTACGAAGCTGAAGTTTTCAGTAGGTATAGATGTACAAAGTAGAAGTTTAAAGAAGGTTGAATGACAAGACATCAGGGTCTGTAAATGAGACGTAGATTTATGCCTCAGAAAAGACCCTCATCAGAGCTGCACAGGTTGTAGTAGATTGTCAGGTGTGGACACCTGTGGCCAGTGTCCCCACCCTGCCGTGCACCCATTCTGAGGCAGAGGGCCTGCTGCAACGGACGAACCTGCCGATTCATGAGCCCGAGAGGAAGGGTCTGATGTCTCACAGCTGTACCCCGAGCCAGGGTCTCGGCTCTGTTGCTGCCCAGACAAGCTGGCCCCGAGTGCCCCGAGTGCCCCTTGGCCCTGCGGGTGGACGGGCCCTCGGCCTGGGCACAGTGGCTCAGCCCCTCTGGTTCCCTGCAGCGTGGACTCAGAAAGTGGCACTTGGTAGGGCTGGGTTCACGGCTGCCACGTGGGTCCTTGTCCGTGGTAAGTTCAGGTGAACGGGGCACGTCACTTAGGCAGCACCTGGGTAAGTCAAGGCCACTTATCTGCAGGGCGAGGATACACGGCAGAGAGATCAGCAATGACCTTCCGATAAGACAGATTCCAGGGCTGCGTGCACAGCTGTGCAATCGTGGACACAAAACAGCTGCTGAGGGAGGGCCAGGGTCGCGTGCTTCTGCCTGGACACACTCGGGGAGCCGCGAACACTTTGCCAACCTCAGGCGAGACCCAGGGAGGTGGGAGGGCACCAACACAGACCCCCGATACCACCTTCAGCCTCTCCCGGCTAACCCGGTCGGTGCAGGCGTGTTCCTGAACTCAGAGCTATGGAACCAAAACAGGACTGGTTAGCCAGACACCTGGGGTCAAGCGAAGGGGCCCCAAGACCAGTGCGTGGGTCTGTCCTGCACCGGAGCTCTGAGCAGGCCCTTCCCAGGGGCCTGTGGGGACACTGAGGGATGGGGGTCCTCGGCCTCCCTGCCCCCTCCCAGGGAGGGTCAGCCAGATGAGCCTGCAGGGTAGGCAGCCGCTGCACGTGGCCGTCCAGCTGGGCTCGTTGCGGCTACAGGCTCAGGTGGGCCATCACTGGAGTCCTGGCGCTCGGGGCTGGGCCTGTTTGGGCTAGAGTTACCGTTGTTGTGGACAGAGCAGCCCGGCCTTTCCCCTGGGACTCGCCCGCCCTCACTGGGTTCTCTGTCCTGCGTTGTGGGCCCTCGGGGGGTTCAGTATCCGAGCGGTCCTCAGCCGCTTCAGCGAGATTCTCCCTGCCGTGTGTAGTTGTTTCTTCTTGGTCTCTTGGGGCCCCCAGGCTGAAGAAGCTGCCCCTGCATCGCCCCGACCCAGCCCTGTGCTTCCACGGGCACCCCGCTGCACCCCTACCCGGGCACCTCGTTCCTGGACCACGTTCCGGCGGGGGGAGGGGGGATGCGTGTGCTCCTTTCACGTTTGCTGGATGAATGAGCAGGCCCCGCACAGGAAGTTGCCTTGGTGTGCTGTCCAAGTGCGCTGCTGAGTTACAGGCGCGGACAAGCAGCTGGAAGTGCCTTTAGCCCCATCCGGGGATCTGGCCCCTCTGCTGTGGCTCCTCGAGTGACCCCTCCCTCCCCTTCAATTTTCTTAGTCCCGCGCCGCACCCCACCCCACCCCCAGTCCCCAGCTATGCTCGCTCCAGGATCTCACAGCCCCTCTGGCTCCAGTCCTGGGCAGAGTTTTGGGTGAGGAGGGGACAGCCGCTTTACGACCGTGACCTCCGGTGAACCCCTCGGGTGTGGACAGCCAGTGCCGCGAATGAGATTAAAAATAGCACTTTAGGGCACGTCCCTGGTGGTGCAGTGGTTAAGAATCCGCCTGCCAATGCAGGGCACACATGCCGCGGAGCAACTAAGCCCGCGCATCACAGCTACTGAGCCCGCGTGCTGCAACTGCTGAAGCCCGCGCGCCTAGAGCCCGTGCTCCGCAACGAAAGGTAGCCCCCGCTCGACACAACTAGAGAAAAGCCCGCGCGCAGCAATGAAGACCCACCGCAGCCAAGAAAAAAGAAAATCACCTTAATAAAGGCACTTCTCAGTAGCCCCTTTTGGCCCAGGGAGAATCCCTGAGGCCGGCAGACTGTCTTAGGGCCAGTTTCTTCTGTCTACCTAACCACTGCTTGTCACTCCCAGGTCCCCTCCACTCCCCTTATTCGTTTCACGGGCTCTGCTGCAGGTCCTGCCCCAGAGCAGATGTGAAACTCGGTCCTCACTGACATACCCAGTCCTGGCCACCAGGTGGCAGTGTCTCCAAAGCCCAGGCGCCATCCGTCTGTGTCCACCAGCCCGCCTGCCCCCCCTCCCCCCCGCGACATCTGCAGCTCAGGCTGCAGAGAACAGTCGGGGTTCCTCCAACCCCCGACCCCACCCCTCGGCTGAGACGATAAGGGGAGAGGCGAGGCGTGTGGGTACCACCAGTATTTTGCAAAATAACTGATGTTTCCTGGAGGCAGGGAGCCCCGGGGGGGCGGGGGTGGGTTGGAGATGAAGGCGGGGTGTTCTGGGCAAAGGGCAACTGGAACAGGTCTTGGCTGGAGCAGGGGGGAGCGATGGCCGAGTAGGGGGCTGGGGGCTGCAGGTGGGGTGGGGTGGGCACAGCCCAGGCGTGGATGTTACAGTGAGGGACAGACGCTCTCGCCCCCGTGCTAGCTTGTACACAGCGGGCCCTCGGTAAATCTTCGATGGGACCCACGATGCACCCTCAGCCCAGATGATTTCCAAACATCGTGGTCCCAGGATCCCCCAGCCCTGAAAAGTCCCCCTGAGCTACTGCTGCCCTGGGTGCCCCGGGTGTGCCCCCAACGCAGGACACCTGCTTCTCTCCTCCAAGTCCTCCAGCAGGAGGCTTCTCAGTGCCCTCGACCTCACAGCCGGGAAGAGGGCACAGCACACAAACACACCTGAGAGCAGGAAGAAGCCGGGGCGCTTCTGTCTGTTCTGGCAGATCCCAGGGAAGCCCGCTCTGTTCCCTAGAAACGTGTGGCCCGGTGTGATGGGTGTGGGGACACCTCCTCACCCAGGCCCCGTATCCCAGCCCATGGTCCGGGGCTCGTCCACAGCCTCGGAAGCCAGAAATCAACCTGATGCTGGCTGTGGTTTCACCCTGGGTTCTCAGTGCCATGCATAGCGTGGCTCAGGGGCCAGCGTGCTCCCTCCAGAGGAGCCTCAAGGAACAGGGTTGACCTTCAGGTTCACGGGATTCAAGATGCGTGGCATGGTACTTGTCTTGTTTTCAGTGGTCTTTGTTTTAGTCTCATCCCGGGACCACAGAGCAAAGGTCTCCCTCCCTGTCCTCTGTCCACAGATGGAACCCCGCGCTCCCTCGGGGCAGACTTCCGGGGAGCAAGACCCAGGAGGCCACGGCCAGGCAGGAGGGTGGGCAGCCAAGGCCACGGGAAGGGCTCGGGGGGCTCAGAGGCAGGTCGGGGGTCAGACTTGTGGGGCAGGCGCACAACCCTGTGGGAGCTGGGCCAGCACTTAGTGCTCGTCTCAGGGCCCAGGTCCTCCTTCCCAGCAGAGGGAGGAGACGTACTTAGCCCCCCACGGGCGAGCAGCGGTCCCTCTCATCACCATCATCACGGCTTGAGTTTTAAGTCGAGAGAGTGGTTCTCTGAGATGTGGAAATCAAGCGGCTGTGGCTCTTGGTGAGTCCCGGGCCTCCTGGCTTGGATCCTGGGTTGTGTCCACGGCCACCTGCTGCGGGCAGACCGGAAGGTCAGGGCAGCTTTTTGGAGCCGGCCTGATGCTCTGCTCAGCCCACTGGTCCCGAACAGCGCCTGACTCAGAGTGGAGTCTTAGGAAAGAGAGGCTGACGACAGCCCTTCCCTCGTGAGGAAGGGTTCTTCATTTACTTAGAAAGTTCTAGGAAGAGTGCCCAGGGTTCGGCAAAGCCAAGAGTGAGAAGGGAGCCTCCCATTGCTTATCTTTCTTGCAGATTTGACGATTCTAGGCAAAAACAGCCCAGGCCAAGGACAGCCATGCAACACCACGTTTTCTAGAAAATCCAAAGGTCTTCTAAAGCAATATAAATGTGGGGAGGATGAGTCCGGGGTCCCAGAGAAAGCATGGGACTTAAGGAGGCCCAAAGGGGCTGTGTGACTTTAAAAAGTCACCGAACCTCTCTGTGCTTCACCTGCACATAGAGCGGGGATGATGACACCTGCCTCACTTACCTCGTGACCACGAAGGGTAAAAATGACATGATGTTAACCCAGTGAGTCCATGGGGAAAGGCCTCACTGATCTCAAGCAGGGCGGGCTGCTCAGAGGAGGTGGAGTTTTAGACGGATCTTAGTCGATGAATCGGAAATCGATGGGCAGGAAAGAGGTAGAAGGACTTTACCCACGGGAAGAGCATGAGCTCAGGCAGAGTCTGTCTGAGGCTGAAGAGGGCTGGGTGGCTGCAGCTGCACAGAGGGTGGAGGCCTCAGGGAGATGGGTGGGGCCCAGGTTGGGCATGAGTAGCTTAGACTCGGTTTCTTAGGCCCTGGGGAGCTATGGAAGGTGCTAAGAGGGAGGAGGGGGCTCACACCTGTTTACAGCTCCCCCAGCACAAGGTGGAAGATGGACGGTGAGGGCACACTGGAGACGAGCTCGTGGACCAGGGAGGGGGCAGGGAGGAAGGGCCTGGACCCCAGGGACCCCACGGGAGCCCCCTCAGCTCCAGGAGGGCAGAAGACAGTGGCTGAAGCAGGTCTGGGGCAAGCGTGGACGAGGTGAGAAAGCTGTGGCCCATGTGGGGAGGTGGCCAAAGTCCCCTGCAGAGGGCTGTGGTTTTCGCACCCAACTCTCCCTAACTGGTCAAGACAAGATGGCGGGACACGTTAGCTGCCCATAAACCAGACTCTCCTCAGGGGCCGGCAACGGGCCGGGACCCCTGCCTGTTGCTTGTTTGGGCCTTCTGGTCAGTGTGTCCTGTGTGTCCCCCAAACATCGGGACCGTGCAGGGAGGGTATGAGTGACCAGTGCCCAGTGCAGCGGGTACGACGGTGACTGGGCACACCCCTCCCTGCTTGGCGTGCACGGTACGGGGAAAGGACCCGCCCGGGTGCACCAGGAAGGGGCCCAGCCAGTTCGCGGTGTCCACTGATGGAAGATGGCGAGAAGCCCCGTGGCGAAGGATCTCGACACCCGCAAGAAGTCGGAGGCTCATCCAGGTCCATAAACAAGCACTGGAAGATGGTGGGCACGGGTGGGCGGGTAAAGTCCAAGGGCAGGATGGGGCTTCACCAGGGGCATCGGCTCCACCTCCTGCAGTTCCCACCTTACGGGGCATTTCACAATCTGAGCTTTTGGTCCCTTGAACACACCAACCCCATTCTCCCTGGAATAGCTCTCTCCCGACCCCATCACCCTGCCTCCCACCCTGCTCGTGTTCTTCCCAGCACTTGGCATCATTCTCAGGCCTAGAAGTCAGTGTATTGTCTGTCTCTCCTCCTGTCACATCAGCTCCATGAGGGCAGAGCCTTGATGCTCACAGTTGGGTCCCCAGCACCTACCACTGCCTGCCACTCCCAGGGCCCTTGATGAGTATCTGTAGGGTGGACGGATGGATGGATGGATGGATGTGTGGATGAGTGGGTGGGCAGATTGATGGATGGACAGATGGATGGATGTGTGGATGGATGGATGGATGGATGGATGGGAGAATGAATGAATGAATAAATGAGTGACTGAATGGGTGTGAGGTCTTCTGACCCAAAAGCATTGTCTGCTCTAACTCTATTCTGGGGAGCAGTGTACAGTTAGACAGGCTCTCTGCACGCCAGCACTGTGGACATTCGGGGCCGGATCATTCTTTGCTGTGTGTGTGGTCATCCTGCACACTGTAGGGTGTTTACAGCCTCCCAGGCAGCAGCAAAGTTGTGACAATCCAAAATATCTTCAGACGTTGCCAGGTGTCTTCGGGGCAGGGGGTAGGGTTGGGAGGCGGGGTGCAAAGCTGCAGCTGGTAATATAGATACATATATATGTATATGCATAAATGATACTCACAGCCCCCTCCCCGAGTCCCCATGGCGAGTGGCCCAATCCCCAGGTGACCTCTCACCCCTCGGGGAGCCACACTGGAAACCGTAGGCTTTGCTGCTGCCGTTTATTGATTTACCACATATTTACATCCCATCAGGAAACCCGTCACGCCTCCATCTACCAGGGCCCTGTGGGTTTCCACCGGCCGGCCTGTCCCCGACCTAGGCCCGGGCTCGAGGCCGAAGCCATGGCTCTGGACGTCAGACATTCAGC